TTCAACGAAATCGGTTTATAAATACGACTTTTATAAGTAATTCTACTCCAGCGCCACCAGCGTGTTTTCTAGTAGCCTATAATAGGACCATATATGTAAGGTATAACCTCCGACAATTTGACTGAGCTGTATCCAGTAGTTTTTGAGTTAAGTTCGAACAACGAAAACGGCTGTTGTTGTAAAACAGGTATTGCAATTTTAAAATTTGTTGTGAAGAAAACTATGCCTATTACCGTTCTGTGGGCAAAATATAGAACGGTATCCATTTTCGCGTTATTCGTGATGCTCAGACCCCGTACAGACTTTCAGATTTATATATAGAGATTCAATACACTAACTTTTACCAGAATGAGTCTTTAATCAAAAAATTTTCTAAAAATGGGGGTGGCAATTTTAGAACCAAAGTTGAAAAATTTGGTTATTGTAGAGAATTAATCAGGGATTACGATGGTATGACTTTAAATCCCTAATTTATTGGTCTTCACTATGTAAATCAGCTTCAAAAATTTCAGCAAAAAAAAATCGAAAATAAAAGATATGACCAACGAACAACTTTTAGTTTTGGGAATAACTCTTACATATGAAGTAACATAAATTTTTTTTACTGTCCTATGACCAACGTTTTCCACCTCCAAAAGAAATCATAACAGTTATTTAGGTTCTCTGGTTTCACTATTTTTCAGTGCAAAAGGAAAGCGTATATGAACGAAAAAACCGCCAAAGAAATATCTATTTAAAGTAAAAAAGCCCCCCGCTGCATTCCTTTTTCGACTGTTCCAAACTAAATAGTTGTAAACTCGACAGATGAGATATATTTCGTTCTGAATCCCTTTTTCTCTAGTGCCGAGCTTGTTCTAAATTCGTCAATTAAGATATCAAAATATAATATTTTAGATAAATTGTAGTTAGCAGCAACTTTTCACTAGCGATATGTAGTTTAGCAAATAAAATAAAATATATTTTTTTTAAGTATCTAGTTACTACCGGACTGGTTCGTTTCCGGCGATAAAGATCTAGTACGGAACTAGAAATTTGGTTCACTAGTACGGGGTTTCCCTGCAGGGATCGCTTCGTCATGCCGAAACGAATACAATATGACTGTACGTCATGCATAAGTTAATAAACACGTACCTCATGATATTAAAGTAACAAATAATCCCATAAAATTTTTATTTCACAAAACAAAAATGTAAACAAGAGATGTTTTGAAAACGCCTAGCGCCCGATAATGTTGGGAGCTTCGATTTATGTTGCTTTAATGATGCGGCGAAAACATGATTGTGAATCGTTATTTACAGAGTTTCATTGAAATAATGACGCGTATTCTTGTTTTCGTACGAATCGAAAATTTGAAATTTTTGTATAGAAAATGATAGAAAAATTTCATGATTTTGGTTCGTACGGAAACAAGAATACGCCCCAATATATATCGTCGATGTTTTTGCAAAACCACCCATCGACCAGTTGCAAAACCGCCTAAATCGCCGTGGTGGCGAAAATGAGATTTGGTGACCCTTAAATCCAGACATCGAGATTTATGCATAAAAATCGTTAAATCCTTATTAAAACAACAGATTTGTAAAATAATAGCTAGAGAAAATTCCGCCTATCAAGGCAATGCCTTCAAAGAATAAACCGTTTTTTCGCTCTCATGTAAAATTTGAGTGCCGTAAGATAGGCGGTTTTGCAAAACCATCGACGATATATGTACTCGTAGAATGTCAGGGCGCAAAAGCTTCACACAGTAGCATCCCGAAAGGATGAAATAAACTGCTAACCTAATTTGGGGAGTGCCTTACTCTCATCTTCTTACCTTATCCAATATATCAGCTCTATTAGTACTCGCAAGCATAAGAACTCCTTGTTTAGAGGCCATACCATCCATTTCCACTAAAAGCTGATTAAGGGTTTGTTCTAGTTCACCGGAACCTCCTTGGCTTATGTTTTCTGTTCCCGATCTTTGTCGCCCGATTGCGTCAATTTCATCTATATATATTATGCAAGGAGCACGTTTGTTACCTTCTTGAAAAAGATCTCGTACTCGAGCGGCTCCAAGGCCTCCGATCATTTCTATAAACTCCGATCCATTCATACTTAGGAAAGGTACTTGGGCCTCTGTGGCCACAGCTTTTGCCAACAAAGTTTTTCCACAGCCCGGTGGTCCCAAGAGCAGTGCTCCCTTAGGTACTTTTGCTCCCAACTTTTGGTACTTTTCGGGTTCTTTCAAATAATCAACGAATTCTTTAACTTCCTGTTTCGCCTCCTGCAGTCCCGCAACATCTTTGAAAAGTACTCCTTTTCCGCCATCAAATGGATCAACTAGGGTAAATTTTGCTCTACCCATTTGAGACTGTTCATAAATAGAGTAATTTTTAAGTTCATCGAATTCTACATAAAATACTTACAAAAGAGTCCATACTAATGGGACTTCTAACACCTTTCATTCTGGATGCAACTGACATAAGTAAAGCGAAGAATAAAATTAGCACCAAAACACGACCAGTAATATCACTTTGTCTATCGTAAGTAACTGCCACCCCTGAAATGTTTCATTTTAATTACACATATGTATGTTATTATATTTATTTATATGCATATATTAGGACTCTTAAATTTATTCGAATAATCGGTCATTAAGCAAATATTCGGACAGTATTCGTTCGACCGGTTATTAATCGGCTTTTGATATTCGAATAGTCGCACGCTTCCGACTCCTAAGCGAGCAATTAAAGAATGCTCCCTAAGGCATAATTTGGGAGCAATAAGCGAAATGGTCGGTTTTGTACTCCCTTCTTACTCATTTAGGAGCAAAAAGCGATGTTTCCTAAGCGAGTAATCCAGGAGTATTCCTTTCGAGAGAAATTTTGTGTTTTTGGAAAAATTTATCGTAAAGAAACCTACAGAAAATATTTCTTATAGAAGCAATATAAGGAGAACGCAATAATTTAAATTGGATAGCACACAGACTTAAATGAAAGTCCGTCGGTATGTACTGCAACTTTGCACGCACGTAGCACTGATCGCATAACTTGCAAACACACAACCACATGGGAAACAGCATTTCCTATCGCTGCAAAGTATGCAACGTCTAGACCCATGCACTTATTTTGCAAAAGAGCATAGCAAGATAAATGCGACTCTGTGCTAGCTGTTTTGTTGTTGGAACTGCAACATATTTATCTCATTCCTCTAATCTCGCTCACTTAATTTTTTTTGCTGTATCTTGTTATTGTATTTGATACAAAATTTCGCTGCTTGCTACCTGTGCATGCTACCACTTTGCAACAGGGAGCACTCGTACTTTTCCGATTTTGAAGAGTATTTTTGTATTTCGTGCAATCCGTGCAACGTGCAAGAGTTCGTGAATACCCCTATTGTATTATGTACCGTTAAAAACTTTACAGCTTGCGCAAATTAGTGTCGGCATTTATGTTCGACGGCAAGGTTTTAGCATTTCAATCATGCCCGTCCAGAACTTTTACTGGGTGACAACGCAGTTCCCATTGACCGTGGTAAAAACTAGAAAGTCACTAAGAAAAGAATATACTGAATAAAACTGTTATATTTCATAACAAATGTGTATATACTTAAAGACCGTTTCTGTGACTAAATAAATTCAATATTTTTATAATTTGTAAATTTTTTATTATTTATCAAGAACTCCCAGTTCTAGCACAGAAATTTAAATCTATTTTCTTGACAAATTATCAAGATTGAAAATGCTATTGGCAATTATACTAATTTTTTTTATTAGAAAATATTTTTCTTACAATTAATTGTTGCATGTGCCGTTATTCTTATTTTCGTTGTTGGTGTTTCCGACAGGGTAGGAGTATGATGTAATGTGGAACGATTTTCCATCATCCCTTGTCAAATTTGGTTTGGAGACAAACCGGTTTCGACGTTGTGCCAATTTCAGTGTCATTTTTCGTTCGGAATGTGCCGATATTTGCGACTCACGGAATAATGGCACCGGAACACAAAAAAAAGTTGCGGGTGCTTTTAACCGTCCGTTTGACTCGTAAAAAAATTTCGAGTAAATTAAGAAAATTGCAAGTGGACAAACTTGGGAAAGACTGCTTCTATGTTTTACCGCTGCACATTTATATTTATTTAAACATATACTTACGTACACACATGCACATATATGCACTAATAGATTGCTTATATATTCTGTTAAAGAGAACTGAGAAAGAAGCCTTTGGTTATGTTCGTACATTTTTTGTCCAGTCAGTAGCTCATAATAATTGTAACGCTCGAGTTCAGTAGGAAGAAATATACACGTTTTAATACTGAAATATACATGTTTTAATAGTGTTTATTCATAATCGAAATTGGTTATTGGGGAACAAAATGAACCCCCGAATTATCAGAAATTCATCTATGCGTAAATCCCGCACAACCATTTGGCGCCCAACGTGGGGCACGATTAAATTCCCCAATTAATTGTGAACTATGAGTAAATCCGTACAACGTCAAAGTGGTTATTCGAACTTAGTAATAAAAAAAAAAAACTAACTAAATGCCTTCAAACAAAGCATTTGTGCATACGAAAATAAAAGGCTAAAATAATATAAGTCAAAGGCATTGCGTATATACTTCTGCACCTACAACAGTGACCGCAGCACTAGTGTTCAAGGGCACAACCGCTAGCTTGGGGCAAACAATAAGAGCAATCTCAGTCGCCCGCTGCTACCGCTAAGACCACAGTTCTGCCTGCGCTGACTCAGCTCAGTCGTCAAGAACCTTGCAAAGGTAAAATCATCCGGTGATTGTTTCTAACGGTGCTTACAAGTGCGGTACATAACTCAGCACTGGAAAGTCAACCCAAGTTATCGGTACACGCATAACACCAGCATCAGGCCAGTTCCTGACCAATGTTTAACATAAAGAGAGCACAGTTAGCAGTCACATAGCAACACCAGTCCAGTTTGTACTACATATTTCTACAACAACTACAACATCGGTTGCCGACCGCCAAACTTACGCAGCATCGACGGGCTCTCCAAATCCCAGCAAACCATACGGAGCGCATCGACAGAAACAAGGAACAATAAGGTAAGTGGGTGCAATTTCAGTTGGTTGTGTATTTATTTGTGGATAGAATGGCATTAGTTCAAATTTCAAGTGAGGACCTGGCAAGGGTGCAGATTAATCGTCTGGAGGAAATAAAAAGGTTATTTTCTAATTTTAAGAAAGATTCAGCCGTGCGAAAAACTAAGACGTACTTCGAACTGCGATTAAAAAAGCTCTCACAGCTACAAAGAGAATTTCAAACTACACATACTCAAATTTTTGCAAACGGCATCGATTCTGAGCATTCATATTGCACCAATGAAGTGTACTCCGCATTCGACGAAGCATATATGGAAATATATTGCGCAATTAGCGATCGCAATGAAGAGTTGTTTCCTTCACGGCATGATGTAGAGTCCGTTCCTAATCCACCTCGATTATCTAGCATTTCATCGATTTCAATGCCGCATTTGCCGATTCCTAAATTTTCGGGAAAATTTACCGATTGGCCATAATTTTACGATGCGTTTAATAGGTTAATAGATACCAATCTTGAGTTAAATGATACTCAAAAATTTCATTATCTAAAGGGGGCACTTCCAGTGATCACGACATTGATTTACATCAAATGTCGCTTACAGAAACCAATTATAAAATAGCTTGGAATTTGCTCATACAGCGATACGATAATCCACGGATTTTATTCACACATAATATGAATGCTTTGTATAGCCTACCGAAGCTGCAAAGGGAGCGGGCAGATGATATCAAGTTCATGCTCAACGCTGCTAATGTATGTATAAATAATCTAAAATGCCTGCAAATATTTGTAGATGACGGCAAGTTTTGGATCGTACATCACCTTGTCACTAGGTTGCCAAAAGAAACTCATCAAGCGTTGGAGCATCACCTCGGCAATAAAACAACGATCCCGACCTTGAGGGACCTTGAAGAGTTCCTGTATACTCGACTACATACATTAGACGCCATCGAAAATCGCTCTGAGTTAGGTGCATCCTCAGACTCCTTTGGCCCACAGCAATCCGTTCCACGTTCCAAATCGTTTCATACACAAACCAAATTTAGCAATAACCCTACCAAAGTTAATCTTTTCTAGACAATCACAAACAAATTTGTTTTAACTGCCTCAGTCAGTCCCATAACATTTCTCACTGCACAAGCTCGAGGAATTGTTCGCAGTGTGGTAAACGCCACCATAGTCTATTGCATATTTCTACAACTGCGCATTCGCATCGGTAACAAAGCGGCCAACGAAGCTCACGCTGCAACTCCGGCAACACTGCGGCCGAATTCCGAAAATGTATTCGCCACCCATTCGGCAACCATAGCCAAGATACAATCGCGAACCAATCGCAGCCCTCAACCAAGATGTTGTTGGCAACTGCACTTGTCGAGTTACAAAACGTCGAAACCGGTGAGTTTACAGTGGTGAGAGCTTTATTGGACCAAGGTTCCGAGGGAACCATAATCTCCGAAAACACCGTGCAAACTCTACGGTTAAAGAAAAATCCAAACGCAACCGAAATTCTTGGCGTGGGTAATCACTCAAGCAACTATTGCCGTGGCACGGTTTGCTTCAATCTGCGCTCACTTACGAATAGCAAATTCCGCACTTTAGTCGAGGTTGCTTATGTTTTAAATTCAATAACATCCTGTTTGCCAACAACTAACATAGTGCCTCAATCGTGGCCACATCTGCATGGTCTTCTCTGGCAGACCCTTCATACCACAAATCCAGCAAAGTTGATTTGCTTATTGGTGCCGATCTATTCGCCCAAATCATTTTACCAGGAGTGCGGCGGGGCTCTCATTGCCAACCGATCGCACAAAATACCCAACTAGGTTGGATTCTCTCCGGTAGCATAGCTCAACCATACGCAAAATCAACACAATTTCGCTGCTGTCATTCCACACTTGAATTGGAGAAGCTTGTAAAGCTTTTTTACGAGCTTGAACAAGTGCCGTCTCAACGAATACTCTCTGATGAGGACCAATGGTGTGAAGAGTTCTTCCAACGCACTCATACCGGTCTAGAAGATGGCACGTATATGGTAAGATTACCCTTAAAATAAATTTTTGATCCAAATCAGACTTTAGGTCGATCAAGGCAAATGGCTTTAAATCGCTATTATCAGCTCGAGCGTCGTCTAACTGCTAACTCGGAATTCCGCCACGGTTATTCCAGTGCCGTTGAGGATTACTTCAACCTCCAGCAAATAACCCCAGCACTTTCCACCGAAGACCAACATCAAGTCATTTCATCCACAGGCAAACTGACCTTCACGTCTTGTGTCCTACCACACCACGCAGTCATAAAGGCGGAAAACTCCTCCACGAAGTTGCGCGTTNCCCACAGGCAAACCGACCTTCACGTCTTGTGCCCTACCACACCACGCAGTCATAAAGGCGGAAAGTTCTTCCACGAAGTTGCGCGTTGTTTACGACGCCTCATCGAAGACATCAAACGGCAAATCGCTAAACGATTTACTTTGTGTGGGACCT